AAAAAAAAAAAAAATAGGTAGGCATTGTGGTGGGTGCCAATAGTCTCAGCTACTTGGGAGGCTGAGGTAAGGGAATCGCCTAAGCCCAAGAATTTGAGGTTGCTGTGAGCTGACACCATGGCACTCTACTGAGGGCAACATAGTGAGACTCTGTCTACCCCCCCCCAAAAAAAAGAAAAAAAAGAAGATATTAAATCAAGCAGGGTGGTGGCATGTGCCTATACAGACAGGTACTTAAGACGCTGAAGTCGAAGGATTGCTTAAGCCCAGAAGTTCCTGACCAGCCTGGGAAACATAGCAAGACCCTGTCTCAAAAAAAAAAAAAAAAAAGCAGAGAGAGACGGGATGAAGAGAGAAAAGGGAGAAGAGAAGAGGAAGGAGGAAGAACGCGAACACATAAACAAACAGTGCAGAGAATGTGAGCATATGCCCGAGATAATGTGAGAGGGACACCCAGGCCAGGCAGGGAAAGCAGGGGTGTTCTCATGATTAAGTGAAATCTCAATCTTAGTCATTTATTTATGCCTCTCATTCTGGGTCAAGCATCAATCCAGAAACAAAAACTGCATCAATTAAACAACAAAATACCACCAGCACAGTAGTGGACACGCTGCTCTGGTTAAGGCAAGTCTTCCTTCAGGGAACTTAGTGGTTTCTATAAACATTACAAAATTCTGGAAGAACACACTCTAATCTAGGGGTTGGCAAATTTTTTTTCTGTACAGTCTAGATAGCAGATGCTTTCAGTTTTGCAAACTATACTATCTCTCAACTACTCAACTTGCTGTATATTGTGGAAGCAGCCAGACTCTATACACACAAATGGGCATGGCTGTGTGCCAATAAACTCACTTACACAATCAGGTGGTGGGCTGGATTTGGCCTTCAGACTATAGAGTCTGATATAGTCTGCCAGAGAAGGGGATGTCATGGAAGAATCTTCACATGCTGACATTTAAAATTTTGAACACAAGGCGGCACTTGTAGCTCAGTCAGCAGGGCACCACCCACATACACCAAGGGTGGCGGGTTCTAACCGGGCCCTGGCCTGCTAAACAACAATGACAACTGCAACCAGAAAATAGCTGGGCATTGTGGTGGGCACCTGTAGTCCCCAGGTATTAGGAGGCTGAGGCTAGAGAATCGCTTAAGCCCAAGAGTTGGTTGCTGTGAGCTGTGATGCCATAGCACTCCACCCAGGGTGACAGCTTGAGACGCTGTTGCAAAAAAATAAAAAATAGGCTCGGCGCCTATAGCTC